TTAATTTGATTTTACAATTAATTGATTATTTTTTTATTGTTTTTTTTTAAATTTAATTTAATTTTATTCTATAATTAAATTAAAATTACTAGAAGTACATTGCTATTAATAAGCTAATTAAAGCTAAGGTTGTAATGACCAACATTAAGTCACTAACAAAATTAAGCACTTTGAAACCATATACAATACATTACTAGAAGTAAGTTGCTATTAATAACCTAATTAAGCCAAATGTATACAGTCAATTTGCATATTCCAATTTCATACAATTAAGCAAAAATGTATACATCCAATTTGCATATTCCAATTTCATCCAATTTCATACAATTAAGCCAAATGTATACAAATTTATACATCTAAATACAAAATCAAACAAATGTATATATACATCCAATTTCAATATCAAATTTCAATTTCATGCCAAATTTCATTTTTAAGCCAATGTGGTGTAAACATAAATTACAAAAACATACACAAAATGCATAAAAACTTCCCACAAATCTGAAAAAGCATACAATCCAACAAAATGCATACAATCCAACAAAATGCACAAACACTTCTTATCTCAAAATACAAACATAATCACTCAACAAAATTGAAAATTACTAACAATTTATCATCCAAATTAGCACCAAAATAGAAAAATAATAGAAAATAGGAGGAATTCGACCTTGAATGTGGGCAATTTCGGAATTGAGTTCAAGGGTCGCCGGTTTTGGAGGTTTTGGGGGAAGGTGTGGCGGTCTTGTGGCGGCAGGAGGGGCTAGCTCCGACTTTTACCTTCGTCCTCCACCTAGTCGACTCGTCCAAGTAATGAAAATGAGAAGCAGCAACAGAAACGAGAGAACAGAAAAAAATGTCACAGAAAAGGAAACTGGAAGGGGTTATTTGTAAGGGGCATTAGCGGCGACAGAAAAGGAAACTGGAAGGTATTAGCGGCGACAAAAAAATGTCATAGAAAAGGGGCATTAGCGGCGATAAAAAATGTCACAGAAAAGGAAACTGGAAGGTATAAGCGGCGACAATAGGGCAATAGCGGCGACACCTTGGAGGGAAAAATCAGCGCATTTTCGCTTTCCTCTACAACCATTGGATTGAAAACAAATCGGATGGATGGGGATAATTTGACGCGGATCGTTGTTAGTGAGCATTAGCGGCGACCTCTTTAGCGGTGACATGTAACACGTCAATTACATGTCGCCGCTATTGCCCAGCGTCGCCGGTAAAGACTTCGCTGGTAATGCCAACATTTCTTGTAGTGTAACTGCTCCAATTTCAAGCCCTAATTTTCACTCCCGATTCTGATTTGAAGGTAAGCAATGGTTCTATTGTTTTTTGGACCTTTTTTAGAGACCACTTATCGTCAGGTAAACTCAGATTAGTAGCAGATTTGGGATTTTCATGTATATGCTCATATCTTTTTTCATTTTTCTTAATTTTTCCCACCATATGAAGTTTGTTTTGTTTCTACTGCGGTTGTACCTCCTGTGAATGGTTTTCTTGATGCTTGTTAGGTAATGATCCAGTTTTATTTATGTTATTTTTGTATATTAAGTAATTTGTTCATCTTTTCCAGATTCTTACTATTGATTTTTTGAGACAAGAATTGGAGCTTGGTACTAAAGGTATGTAGATTTGATTGGCTATTTTCTAAATTGATTGAATATGATGTTGTAGTCTAAATATTGCAGAACTAGCATTCTACTTTGAATATCTCATATGAAAAAGATTAAAGGGTATATATTTATACGTGGAGAAAAAATGGTTCAAATCTGTACATGGAAGTTCTTTGTTTTGTATGTGATTTTTTGCTCTTCATGATTTGAACATATCAAATTTAAACATGATATTTATTGTATTTATATATATTTGTTACAATAACAAAATGAATTGGACTTGAACTTTGTGTTTTTGTCTAATTTCTGGAGTAATTATGATGTTTTACAATATGACAATAACTTATAAAGTTGTAAATTTGGATCCATGAAGACATGGGATTGGGGTTAGCATGCTTCTACGTATTTATGATATTCAAGTTGTGAATAGTTGGATTTCAGACTCTGTTATTGCAATTAAGATTCTTCTAATTTTGAATTTAGTTTGATATGCTAATTTTGAAATGGTTACCTTTTGTGCAGATGTCACAAATTACATTGGAGCACATTCAAAGTATTTTCTTCCGAAGAATGAAATTTGAATCTTTAGTGTTGTAGGTGGAAAGACACATTAAGAAGTGAACAGTGGACTTTACATACCGATCAAATGTAGCCTTGGGTATGTTAGAAATGTTCTCTTACTGGGATGATTATGTACATGGATATATCAAGAACAATAAAAGATGTAAGATTATCATTTTTTTTAATGGTTGTGTTTTCTATTTTTTATCTGAATAATCTAAAGAACAGTTTGAAGTCAGGTAGCCTTTGTGATACCAAGCAAGAACACCAAGGAAGTATTGATGTGGAGGAAATTTAGCATAAATAATGACGACTAAGTTGTTAATTAATGGTGAGATCTCATTACATTTGGTCTTTTAGTTTTTTCATTTACTGGGACCAATTTTTTTTGAAAGAGTTACTGCTACCAATTTATATGGTGCATAGATCTAACTATGTATTTGTCTTAAACAAAGCCCAATCATATGTTGGTTTTAATGGTATTTTCTTTTTCAGAGAACGTAGTAGTCATGTTTTAACCATTCCAGTTGTTTCGATTTTAGTGAAGATCTCATCCATGAAGTTGCCTAATCTAGATTATTTATGTGTATGGATGTGTGTATCGTTGTGTATGTTTATGAGACAGTGTATATAGGTGTGTGTGTGTGTTTTTTTGAATGTGTATTTGACTGTTGTGTGCAAGCGAGTCTGTGTGTGTGAATTGGAGTGTGACTGTGAGTTGTATGTATGGACCTTTGTAGATGCTTTCGGTTAAATTTTGTCAAAGTTCATAAACTGACTCTTTTTTACTAAGACCAATCCTGAGGAGGCTTGGTTAATTTTTAAATGACCAAGGCTTAAAAAAATGATCCGGTAAATCTTAGTTATTTTCAAAGGCCATTAATGATTCCCAAAAGGCCAAACTTACAAGGTAATTATTTGTTTATTTTAGTTTAAAGTAATTATAACTGTAAAATTTATGAAGTGAAAGTTTGTATGTTTTAAGCTATTTTTTTAACAACTTCAAAGTTTTATACTAATTGAAATTATATTTAACCTTTTAAATATGATGTAACATAATAATTTGATGTAATTAAGGTGTCCATAACTTCAAATCATTAATATGTGAGTAAGTTTCAAAAATGTTCCCTATGGTTACGACAAATTTTTAGTTTTAATACATCTTTCAACAGCACGACATAGATAGTCCTTGTGGTTTTGCTTTTATGCATGGTTGGTCCTTTGGTAAACAATAAACCTTATGTGCAAGTTGTTGCAGCAACTATTTGATCTATCTAGGATTCTTCAAATATGATAATTACTTTTCAACAATTTTGTTTTTGTGCATGCTGGTAAAATTTTACAAGGAATAAAGAAACCATAGGTTCAAATTGCAAAAGTTAGCAAATAGGTTACATTAGCATATATCTTCAACTAAATATTAAAAACAATTAAATAAAAGATCCAAAAATAATTATAAAATTGAACTTACCAAACCTTACAATCCGCATCTCATAACGCGGTTTACAACTTTTGTGGTGCGGTTTGCGGTGCTCAAAAATCTCAAACTGTATATGCAGTGCGACTTACGGTCTTGACTCTAAACTGCACCACGAACACTCCTAGGCTAACGTGTAAAACTGCCAATTGCATTAACGAAATAAGGAAAAACTTTAACCTAATTTCTTATTCTTTCTTACTATCGTTCATCAATGACAAATCCTGCTTCCATCCATACGACTCCTCTTTCTCATCATCCATCATCGTCGACTTCCCCATTCCAACACCATCGCCTCCATCTCCTCCCACTTCCTCCACCCCACCATAACCATCGCCTTCTTCACCACTGCCTTCCCCTACGCCCCATCACCATCGCTTCATCTCCCTGCATTTCCTTCACATCATCACCATCGCCTTAAGCACATGTTAGTTTATTCAACAAGAAAGAAAGGTCTCAAGCTTTCTAAAGAAAATTAATTGAAACAAGAAACAATCCACGAAATAAACTTATTCGCCGAATTGCCTCTAGAAACTAATTTCTGAAAAAACTATTCACAGGCGCGGGTAAACGGGTAGTGTGTGTGTATATATATATATATATATATATAGGTAGAGGTTAATTTGAGACCACCTATATTTTGTGAGACATAGGGACAAAATCTTAGCCTTTGATCAAATTTGATCTTGTGGCTCATAAAAAAAGGGATTAACACTAATTAATCTAATTGATTAGTTAATTAGGGGTAGATTAGTCACTAGGTTAAATTTAAGATGATCAGATATCATATCAGGTTAGCTTAATTTTCACGTCATCAAGAAATCATCTCATCTATTTCAATTTTCTACCAATTTATTCGATGAGTCAACATTCCTTGTTCTTCAATTCACTTTGATCGATATTATATCTCCAATCTTATATTCTTTCAACCAATAATCGATTTGATTTGGACATTGATCGAACGATGCTAAATCATAGCTTCTAAATTCGCGATTTTTGTGTTTTTCGAGTTCATGTTCTTGATTCTTCTACATCTGCAATTGATAATCTGAGTGGTTGATGTTTATGTTCATGTATCGACATTAGCAATTCATTAGAAGATTTTGATCGATTTTAACTCTGTGATCATCGATTTCGCTAGAGGTTCAAGTGTTCAACGATTTCTGCTAATCTTCATATTCAACACTTGTTTACGATCATTCAAGCTGTGATTTTTACTCAACATCATGAAATCTTCAATTGATCAAGGTTTGAGTTTTCATCGATTTCACTGTTACTTGCATATAACATATTCAATCTTTAACCTAGTTCATGAATTGAATCATCAAGCTATTATCGATTTATCCAATTTATACATGTATGATTTGTGATTTCAACAATCAAACATCATCTGTTGTTGAATTTGTTTTACCTAGAAAACAATTTAAGCTATAATATTTTATTTGACAATACATCATCTATTTCATTGTTTGATTTTTAACTTTCATTCAATGATTATGTTTTTCAGCAATATGTCATCTATTTGCTTTTCATTAACTTCATCTATTTGCTTTTTATTAATATCATCTTGGTGATAAGTTCATGTTACTACATGTTATTCTTATAGAATATTGTACATACATTTATATATCAATAATGATAACAGTTATGGATGATTTGGATATGCATGACATCGAAAACAATTATCTCGATGAAGAAAATCATCAGTTCGGTTCTAATGATTCAGAGATTCTTCATAACGAGGAAAATCAATCAGAAACCCAAGGTAATTTGTTAAATTTTACTTTATATCATGATTTGATCAATTGATCAAGGTTTGAGTTTTCATTGCTTTCATTGTTAGTTGCATATAACAAATTCAATTTTTAATCTAGTAACAGTTATGGATGATTTAGATATGAATGACATCGGAAATGATCATTACAATGAAGAAAATCCTCAATTCAGTTCTGGTGATTCAGAGATTATGCATAATGATGAAAATCAATTGGAAACCCAAGATAATTCTAATACTGATATCGGTGATTCTTATAGAATGATGTTGCTGATAAGTTCATGCTACTGCATATTATTCTTATAGAATAATGCACATATAATTGTGGTTTTTTATGATTACATTCATATGAATGCAAATTAGTCCGATTATATGTTAACATGGTGGTATATTCTTTTTTGTTGTTCAAAGTGACAATGTTGCAACACACTATATGGCTCTTGCAAAAAATTCATTGGAGCTGATGGTTCTTTCTTTTGGATTCCAGGGGTTGAAGCTAGTTGGATACCTCCTATGGGTTCAATTTTTAACGATATCATAAATGCTATTAAGTGGTATAAATGATATGCATTAAGATCTGGTATCGATATTAGAAAATCAACAGAGAGGAAAAAAAATGGAATCACAACTTCGAAATATTTTATATGCAATAGAGGGGGATTACCAAACACTTCTACCCTAGACACAATTAGTGATGATCATAACAAGCAATTGAGAAATAGTAATTGTAAACGCACAAATTGCAAAGCTTTTGTTGCATTCAAAGTTATACCAGATTCTTCAGAAGTTTACCTGTGGCACTTTGAACAACAACACAACCACAAATTGATCAATGATGATTGTATGCATCTTTCATGAGCTAAACGTCAGTTGGATGTTGTTGATCAAACTTTTATACATAAGCTTTCGAGTGCAAAGGTGGGGGGAAACTACATCATATAGGCTAATGTGCGTTATAAAAGGAGGATGTAAATTTGTTGGTGGATTAGAGATAGATTGGAAAAATTTTACAAGGGATATAAATTGTCACATCGGGGGTACTGATGCAAATTTGTTGATTACAAAACTTCAGAATCGTAAAGAGAATGTTACAAATTTTACATACGAATACAGATGTGACAAGAAGCAGTTAAATGCTCTCTTCTGGGCCGCTGACACTTCCAAACAAAACTTCGAGTTATTTGGGGATGTTGTTTCGTTTGACGCAACATATCGTACAAACATGTATTTATTCTAGAATTATAAACATTTTTTAGTTGTATATTCTAATGGTCTTTTTTTGTGTTTTTTTAGGTATTGTATGGTATTTGTACCTTTTACTGACATTGATAATCACAAAAGGTGTATCACATTTGGAGCTGGTTTGTTGTGTAGAGAAGATACAAATTCCTATATTTGGTTACTTCGGTCATTCTTGAAGTGTTTTGGAAAAGCACCAATCATGGTTGTGACTGATCAAGATCCAGCAATGAAAAAAGCTATTGAGATAGTATTGCCACACATAAAAAAAAATTGTATGTGGCATATCACAAGTAAACTTCCATCGAAGGTGATAACATTATTGTTTTATTCTTATCAATATAAATATGACATTATTTTCAATATAAATATGACATTATTGTTATATTTTTATCAGAATATTAAAATGAAATATTTTTTGTAATTAAAATAATATATTAAATGAAATGCCTTTTTATACTGTATTATATTCTTATCAGAATAGTAAATGAAATATTTTTTGTAATTAGAATAATATATTAAATGAAATGCCTTTTTATACTGTATTATATTCTAACAGAATAATATATGAATTGTTTTTGAAGGTAAGCTGGGAAATAATGAATGAATCAGATTTTAAGGCGGACTTCAATAGTATAGTATGGGACTCTAAAATTGCTTTGAAAGATTTTGAAATGAGATGGGATGCATTAATGGTAAAATATAAGTTACAAGACAATAAATGGATGAAAGATATGTTTGATTTGAGAAGCAGTTGGATTCCAGCCTATTTTAAAGATGTACCAATGTCGGGTCTAATGAGAACAACTTCTCGGTCGGAAAGTGAGAATTTAACATTCAATAGGGTATCGCATCATGGTTATACGTTAAACAATTTCATGAATGCTTTTGAGTCTGTTATGGAAAGGCAAAGGAATAGTCAGATCAAATTTGATTTTGATACATCTACTATAATTCCAATCATCAAAACACCTCTTGAAGATATGGAGAAACATGCATCTATGGTATACACCAGGACTATTTTTCTCATGGTGCAGAGGGAGATTCTTCATTCACGTGTTTCTTGTTCACATAAGAGTGTTACTTCAGGCGTTGTTTCCGACATATGCATTGTCAAACACAAAACGACAAATTTATCAAAGAAGAAGATAGTAGTTGAAAAAAAAAAGTTGACATCGATTGTGAATGGAATTTTAACACAAGTGAAGGTGATTTCGAGGTAATGTTAACATTTTATAATTCTAATATTATAATTTTGATTACTAAATTATTGTCTTTAATTTTGTTTTTATATTATTCTAATTTTTGTTTTTAGAATATACTTAATATTCTAATACTTTTGAAAACTATTCTAATTTTTCTTTTTTGAATATACTTAATATCCTAATACTTTTGAAACAGGTTGAATTCAATAGAGAAGATCTAACGATGAAATGTTCATGCATGCTTTTTGAGCGGTTTGGAATTTTTTGTAGACACATCTTCTGTATTCTAAAGATTTATGACATACAAGAAGATTCCGTCAAGATACATTCTTAAGAGATGGAGAAGAGATATTATCCTCACCATAGATTTGAAAAGGAGGGTTAGATATGGTGATTATCTGGAAAGGTAGAGAAGGTTGCATACAAAGCATTTTCCATGCTTGATCAATTCTTGTCTTCATTAAGTAATGATGACAAGAAGTTAGAAGAGTTCATGCAAAAACTAGAAGTTTTTATGACTGATATTGGTGAACAAGGTTCAGACAAATCACCGGTTACAAAACAAGTTCATATTGATAAACTTTACGGAGCTACTACAAATCTTGAAGTTGTTGATGTTGAAAATCCACCTATGGTGAAGAATAAAGGTTCTGGTACAGGAAAACGTTTAAAAAGTGCTTTGGAGAAGGCTACTATTCAAGGTAACAAGCAATCAAGATCATGCAAAACATGTGGGGTTAAAGGGCATAATTCAAGGAAATGTTTGACATTGTTGAATAACTCCAAGGTACAAAGTGCATAGTTGTGGCTAGAAATATATTTCGATTTTTTTCGTATTTGAATAAAGTTCAATAATACCATATAGAAAAAATTTTGAATTTCTTTAGTTTGGACTTTTTCAGATGTTTTGGTTTGTGATGATGTATGAGACATTTGGTTTGTGATGATGTGTGATACATTTGAAAACATATTGATTCTTCTAATATTTCAATCTTTAATTTTTGCATTGAAGTATATACGAATAGTCTTCTGTATGATAATCACAGTATAATGTTTTGTTATCAAATTATTATAATACAAGATTATACATGTAAGAATAGTGGTATATGCAACATCTAATATTATTTTAATAGAATAATGATGCCTTTAACATTATTCTATTAAAATATTCAAAAATAATTTATGTTTACTATAGAATATTCTACCATGACCATTAACAAGTGATCATAATACCAACCATACATTAAGCATTAATCACCTAATAAACCATATCAAGTTTCTTACATAATACTAGACATCATTTTTTGTCTAATTTGTTCAAAATTAGATAGATATTACAAAAGGAATTGTTGTTAAGTCACCATAACCACGTTTATAAAATTCCAAACTTCTATCAAATTCTATTTATTACCCATTTCCAATTCATCCATTCTATTGATACCTTCCTGTGAAGTCATACCCTTATATGATGCACAATTCCTTTCACAGAACAGGTTGTAACCAACACAAAATCAAACAAAAACATGATCACACACAACCAGAGAATGGGATGTGCTGTTATGCTCTTGTTCCAACTCAAAGGCTATAACCCAAATAAAAACCATGCCTATAGTTCGAACCAAGTTCTCCTTTGCTATCTCGTTTAGCCCACATATACCTCTTACGACAACATCTGATGAACTTACCATAATATACACTCTCAAGAGAACCCATAACCAACCATCGATCTACTAAATTCCTTTTTCCTCACACCCTTATCCAAAGGGGGAGGTACCAGTAGATCTAACCAAATGACGAATCTCATTTATTAACAGAAACATCCTCATGAATGACCGAAACAAGATCCTACACCTTGATTGAAACTAAACAGATTCCACTAATGCGTAAATAGCTCGATAATACTTCCAAAGTTATCCAGAAATATTGTTAAAACAATGATCGTATCAATCCAAATACCAGCCCTGTCTAAACGTCATGCCAAAATTTGATTCTACGTAGATCCAAAGCCACAACTAAAAAACTAAACAGCGTTGCCCTAACATCAAAACTTCCAATAACCAAGGACATCTTCCAAACTCGAGCTTGCTATGAAGTATAATTCTACAACCAGCGATTGAGGGTAAATGTTCCCAGAAGCCGAAATATAGAACGTACAGAACTTGACGATGAACAAGATAACCAATGATCGAGAATGCACTGACAAGTAATCCAATAATCCAATACAATACTGAATAAAGACCACGAGGGACTAAACATACCAAACTATGAAGCTGGTTGACCAATCAACCAATGCCCATATTGGACTATAGATAGCAATCTATACAACGAGCTGACAACCTTCCTCAACAACCAATACTTAACCTGAGCGACCCATCACCTCTTGATCTATTCACCAACATCCCGAAAGGAACCACTGGCTACAACGAGCTCCTTGTCCAATAGCTTCCTTCTGCAATGACAACTCATGAATTCCTAAGCACATACATTCGATGACAACTTGGGTGTACCCTCGTCTTGACCAAATCATGGGACAAAGTCTCTCATATCCAAACCATGAATCCCTATGACCTATTCTTCTGAAACCATTTACCCTAGTAGATCGATGATCCTCCAAATAGAATACCCAGTTCTCCCCCACTCAGGGTTCAAACTACCACCAACTAATATCACAAACAAACCACATCTCAAATCATCTCAACCAGTTACATACCATCCCCGAATCTTGGAATGTGTAACACTATGCAAGATGATCTTCCACATAAAGACCAAAGAAACTCGAAGAGATTCCAAATCTTAGGTGGAGACCTCAGAAACCTCCCAATCATAACCGCCTCTAACCTCAAGAATTTCATGCAGATGCATAAGCAATAATTTGAATAGTCCATTCATAGCACTGATTCTCTATCTAGAAATAAGTGATCCATCACACCGTCGTCTATAATTACCCATCCATCGATTCATCATCAGGATCGTCCATAATACTAGATGTATCATTCTTATAGTCGGGACACATTATAGACAATAAAGGTTGCCGTTCCCAATTCTTTTCCTGCTCACCTGAAACAATCAACTAGCATCCGACCTATCTATATTCGAAGGAAGTAGACCCTTGATATTATATTAAGGAAACCATACCACAAGTATCCTATTGTACATTCCTACACTACCATAACTGTCGACAAAGAAAACGACAATCGTCTAGACTCATGTTGGCTCTACATCCCAACTCTAAAAATCACATGTCTACTTTCTCTTTCCTCCAAACGAGGAAAGTTGGAAGTACATAACCCCTGTCGACAATAGTGACATCCTAATATGTATGCCAATCCCTCAGCCTATGGCTGCAATACTCAAACTGGTCATCACAATCACTTCCTTCTTGAGTCCCATGACTCAATTGGCACTTCCACGAGCAAGGCCCTTAAGACCTCATAATCAACTAACTTCCTTAGGTCTACACCATTCAAACCCAAACTGACATGGTCACTAAATCCTAAACAATCACCAGACCCATCCTCAGCCTAAACGACCATAACCGATAAACCAATAAAGATGAAAACACACTACAACGAATCATGGTGCTAAACCATGCCAACTTCCCTTAACCAGTTCCTTATAATCCCCTAAATTTTACTCGATTCGAGTATGGATCCTGTGCTTCTAGTAGTACGGGCCCAATACTACCTTCCACACCTATCCATACTTTCCTTATGAATCATCTCGGGTCCTCTAAGTAACTACTCCTGTCCACATCCATCTGATCCAGCCCAATATACCTGCTCTCTGACGAGCACACACTGCTAATATTCCTAGATTCTCCTTCTAGGATCTCTCTTCTGAAAATGTCCACACGAGAACATACTAACATTCCTTCTAGGCTGCCCTAGGGATCCCTTCACACCACTCTCTGCCATCGGCTGCAGAAGAGACTCCCTCTAATACCTTCTAACTATTTCACGAATACAATTACATGCCACAAGAACTAGATAATTCTTCGAATGCAAGGTCTCGCACTACAATGGTTGGATTCAAACAAGAGCTGCACAATAGAGTTAAATCAAATTCAATAGAGTCCGGGCTGGGCCCATATACTCCTTAGAGATTGGCATGTTAGGCCTTTACACATGATATATATATATATATATATATATATATATATATATATATATATATAATATATATATATATACCACATATTGTGCAGCTCCCTATACATATTCCACCATACATATAATGCATCCACACAAGATCTCAGCTCTAGCCCCGAGCAATCAAATCTCATATCCATATATATATATATATATATATATATATATATATATATATATATATATATATATATATATATATATATATATATATATATATATATATATGGATATGAGATTTGATTGCTCGGGGCTAGAGCTGAGATCTTGTGTGGATGCATTATATGTATGGTGGAATATGTGGTATATTAGGGAACTCACTAAGCTTTATGCTTACACTTGTGGATTAAACATTTTGCATGAAGTTCATGAGAAGAGATAGGTGGACTGTACACACGCATCGAAGGTGTTCGTTTCCGCAGTTTTGTAAATTTAACTCTAATATTGTATGGTTTTAATCAAATGAATGTTACGTGATGGTTTTTGAAACAAAGGTTTTAATTGGTTATTATATTTCAAAAGTGAAAATCTCTTTTGTAATTTTTGGGACGTTACACTAAACAAGAAGGTATAATGGTTGACCCAACAAAGATTAAAGTGGTAATGAAGTGGGAGTGACCAAAAAGTCCCACTGAGATTCGTAGTTTTTTGGGATTAGTTGGGTATTACCGAAGGTTTATTTAAGGCTTTTCCTCAATAGATGATCTATTGATAACCTTGATCAACAAAGGGGCTACCTATACATGGAATGAGAAGCACGAGTAAGCTTTTGAGAAATTAAAGAAGTGGTTGTGTAAAGCACCAATCCTTTCTTTACCCGATGGAGTTGAAGACTTTGAAGTTTATAGTGATGCATTACGAGTTGGGTTAGGGTGTGTTCTGACCCAAAGAGATAAGGTAATAGCATATGAATCCCGACAATTGAAAATCCATGAACATAACTACCCCACTCATGATTTGGATTTGGCAGCAATTGTTTTTGCACTAAAGATATATATACATTATCTTTATGGCACGAAGTGTAAACTTTTCACCCACCATAAGAGTCTTCAATACCTTTTTGGTCAGAAGGAGTTGAACATTAGGCAAAGGTGCTAGCTAGAATTACTCAAGGATTATGACTACGGAATACTTTACCACCCTAATAAAGCAAATGTCGTAACAGATGCTTTAAGTAGAAAAATAAAAATGGAGAGGAAAAAGCCAAGAGTGTTAAGAATTGAAATTATGTCGACGACTGTTTAAATTTTTCAAGAAATATCAGAATGATGCTTTGGAAGGAGATAACCGAAAGGAAGAACCTATGGGCAAATGTTAGTGTTTGGAACTGAAAACCAAGGAGTAAAGGTATTCTAGAACATAATTTGTGTACCCAAGATGGGTGGAATAAGAGATCTTCGAATGGAAGAGTCTCACAAAACCATGTACTCTATTCACTCTGTTAGCACCAAGATGTATATGGATCTAAAACCATATTATTGGTGGCCAATGATGAAGCTTTATATCGCTAAGTATGTAGTCGAGTGTCTGACTTGCGAGAGAGTTAAGACTCAACATCAGAAACCATATGGGGATTTGGAACCGTTACCGGTACCTATGGGTAAGTGGGAGGACATTACAATGGATTTCATAAACAAACTACCTAGAACGAAGG